TGACCCGCGGGTCATAGGTTGCCGATTACTGACATAGATATTCTTTAATGCATTAGAAAAAAAAAAGTTAATTTCAAAATGAAAAGAATAAAGTATCTATGAAATGAAACTTTGAAATATATATATACTGCATTTTAAATAAAATTAAAACAGAAGTTAAATGTGTATAATGTATCTTAACATAAAACCTGAGAATGCTTTATTCATATTTTTTAAACCACTTTACTCACTCTTAAAATTTTCCTAGTTATTTGCCATTATTATTATTATTATTCTCAGAAAGTTTTGAAACTGAAAATAGTAAATAACTATATTCCCCATTTATTACACTTGCACCATTTAACAATTTTGTTAAAACGTTTACATAATGGCACTTTGGGTTAAAAGTTTTACAAGTACTTTTGTGAAAAAGCTCTAAATAATTTTCAAATTGTTTTAAAAACAAATATCTCAAATATTTCTAACTTTTTTCACGTTAGTTTTAATTGCATTTGTATACTTCATCAGAGAACTTAATAAGTTTCTCATAAAATAAATTTGATTACAGGAAGTCTCCAATCTTTTTCCTGATTCAACAGGGGGAGCATTTATGTAGACATACAATATTCAGAAATTTATGTTCTATAAATAGTTAGAAAGGTAAAAGCTGAATCACTAAATCATGTAAAAAATATTTCAAGTTTATCACACTCGTTGTATCAATTAACCGATGCCTAAGGTAAGTAAATGATAGTAAATTCATACCTGTCTTATCATTTTATTTTCCATTATTTTGTATTGCTTCAAACATTATTTTGAAGGAACTTGTACTTCTTGAAGTTTTACTTTTCAGTATAATATTGCACAAAACAGTAAAATTTGAAAACAGATACAAAGAATTAAAACATGGGTTAGAGCTTCTAAGGTACACAATATCTTTCATTTCTGAATAATGACTTCACTTACAGTCCTACCATTTGTTCTATAATTACTTTTAAGAATACGGTTTTCATTTCTACAGCTAAACATATACACAAATACATACACACCAATCTTATATTTGAGTTCACACATTTGTGAAAGTATACAAAATGATAAAAAACTAACTTTAAATTCAATGAGTTACCAAGTAACTGATGATAGTAGGTTCACTTTCAACAGGTGCAGAAAATAAATCATTAGAAAAACTAAGTAATGTCTTTTTAAATATAACAATAAAACTACATTTCATCTAGAAAAGTTACATTTTCAAACATTTTTGCCTTCTAGTTCATAACAAGTACCTTAACCTGGATATCACAAGTAAATACAATAAAAATAAATAAATTATGATAGGAATTTCATGTGGTATCTAAAAATATGTGTATGGCATGTAAAAATAGTGAATTAAATTAAAATAACTCCTTTATATGTAGCCTGGTCTCTCAAAAATGTGAGGACTAAAAATTAAAACACTAAGTTATGAGAGGACACTTAATATAGCCCCACAAATATGAGAAGTAAAAAAACAGAGCCCTGAATCAAACAATTCTAGAGGAGTTTGTTTGAATTTTTAACACAAGTGACACTTACCTTCCAGATGGCTTCACATAAGGAATGAAGAGGACTTCCCATTTTTACAGAATTTTCAGTGCTATTCCAATCTAATATTATAACAAAGTCCACAAGGTTGCGTTGATTCCACTGAAATATGAAATCCTCTGGGATGGACTTAGTAAGACCAACTGCTGTAATCCTGTGTTATAAATGTAAAATTTTCATACACCAAAAGATTATGCTTACATTATTCTTGAACCAAATGAACAGAAGCTGAGATTACAGCACATTATAGAATTACCATTTATTCAATGAATGTAGTAAATTAATAAATTTCATTATTATTATTATTATTATATCACTAGTTACAACTCATAAAGAATCTTGAACTTGTACTTGTCCGAGCACTAAGTCTGACTTAACCAATTTAGCATGAAGAAGTACTTAATGGATACAGCCCTCTCATCCTTCTACTGTCTCTGCATCTGTAGGGCATATTTCAATCCTTTAAGTTGCAATAATTTGAGCTCCCTGTCCTATTTCTCAGTCAATGCTATGGTGCTATTGGGTGGGCAAGTCATTCATACATGGCATCCAAAACCATCACAAAGGTGTTTTATGAGATAAGTATTTAAAATTACAATTCTGTCATTATCCTACAACAGAACAAAATTTGGTTTGACTGCATCTATGAAAGCTCATTCAATTGCATCTAATACTAGGTCAATATGTTTGTATCCATGCAAGATTGTACACGTACATCTAACATTATGCCTATACAATGCCGAGATTCATATTAACTCTCACAACACGGGTTTCGTCAACTTGACTGACCATGTAACCTCTTTGTACTCATTTAAAGTCTTTATAGTTTTGATACTACTAACTTTTAATATAGAATGTATATCTTCACAAAATTTGGCCCACTTTCAGTAAACATTATATGTCTTTCACATAAAAAAATCATATATTTAGTGAAGAATTTTTAACAAACCAAAAAAATACCATGAATATAGAGTATTTTTTACTAGTCTGTGTGCAAAGTAATTTTCATGTGAAGATTAAAAATAATTTTCTTTATGTCAAAAATCTCAAATTTCATTTGCGTAATCTCTAAAACATCCCAAATACATTTCAAATGTTTGTTTTCAGTAAAACTTTATATTTTATCTGTTATTTTCTCTACACTAACTCAATAATAGGTTGATAATTTTGACTGACCTCATAAGCACCAAAAAAAAAACATGATATAAATCTAAATTACCTTTTTTTTCTTTCTAGAATGACTTCAAATTGTAATATGAAACTACATTCATTTATCCTAAGTAGCTTTAAGCTGACTCTATAATAGGTTGATCATTTTGACTGACCTCATAAGCACCAAAAAAAACACAATATAAATTTAAATTACCTTTTTTTTCTTTCTAGAATGACTTCAAATTGTAATATGAAACTACATTCATTTATCCTAAGTAGCTTTAAGCTCGTAACAGTATACATGCCATTATAAGTTGTAAATCACTCGGAGAATGTGGAGCTCACATTATGCAATAGAATTACATTAACCACAAGCTGCTCGCACACGTGTCTTGTGAAACATATTTATTACATTATAATTATTATTCATTTCACCTAATCTAACCTAAAGAGATCCATATTTTTAAATTTTAGTTACTTTAATACTAATAAATAAAGAATAAACATGAAAAACAAGAAATAAAATACTTACCCGGGTCTTCTATTTTTTGCTGTCGATGACACTTAACCTTACTTTTTTTTATACTAATGGTAGTAATGCACTATATAATTTTTATTTAATTAAATAATGCACCAAAGAACATAGAATAATAACATGCAAAAAGCAGACAATATCCCCTAACTACCACAATTTTTCTGGCTTTCTAATTATGTGACAAGAGCTGTTACAAATTCATCCAAAGTAGTATTTGTCTTTCCCGTGGGAACAAAGCTTGTACTAACAAAGAAATTGAAAACTTTCTGTTCAGAAAACAACATAATACGTCATTTGATAGATGAAAACCTTGGCTTTCTATTGGTTATATATAATATAGAATTAAACCTAAAACAGAACTATTAACAAATCCTGAAAAAGAGGATGTGACAGGTAGCAAGAGGGTTTTGATTTTCTATTTGATAGCTCTGTAACCAAACAAAACTGAAGGCTATAAAAATTATGGTTTGTCTGAGTAATGACAATTTCATAGTGAGTAATTTGCTTTAAAGTTCATACTTATTAGAGGGGTGGTGAATAAAATATAGAAGAGGGGATGCCTAGAGAAAATATGTCATATTTCACACACTAGGGGAATTTCAGGATTTTTTTAAATTTTACCTTATAAAATTAAGAACTTAGAACTTATATACTATTAAAATATAGGTTATTAGCTATGAATTTATGATATAGTAATTGGTATAACATAAACCAAAAGTAGTTTAATAAAATTTTGAATGTTAATCGCTAAAGCCTCATGATATGAATAATAAATGATGCCTGGGCAGAGAGGGTTAATATCTGCTTGTCTAATGACACTGATGTCCATACATGCTGTGATTGAGCCACCACAGAACCCAATGATCACAAGTAAAGAAAACTTTCCAAAAAAGAAGTAAGTGTTGGGATTACTAATATCAATCTTTCAAAAACAATGGAAACAAGATAGTAGGAATGGCATTTGCATCATCCCTACATAATAGCACAGGCACACAGTGTAGTAGACTGTTAACAGACAAAAACAGGATAAATTAAACTCAATTGTGATAGAATACATATATATTGCTATATGTTAATTCCTGCCTGAGCGATTATGTTGGTATGATGCAGATGCCGTCCCTACTATCTTGCTTGCAGTTGAAGCATCTGAAACCGGGTCAAATTCATGTGCTAAATTCAGCCCTTTCTATAGCAGGATCCAATCCTGGAAACTACTATTTCATGGAATAGTTGTATTCTAATCTACTCTACCTTGTTTACAAAGGATTGCTTTCCAGATGCCACCTAGAGCAGAAATTCTTGTGATCAAATTGTTTTACTGGTCAGCTATAGAGAAGGTGAACTGTAAATGAAGTTTTTTGCATTTTTTAAATAGATTTGTTTCTAACTTGAAACTTACATGTGAAGTTTATTTTTTAAATTACCAAATGGTTTTCAACATACAGTTTTGACAGCTTGTAAATCTGTTAAAATCTTCAGCCTGCCAACCAGCATGAAAATAATAACCACAGTTAACCATGAATGCATCAAATTATCAATATTGAAGTAAAACTGGGACAATGCTTTATCTGTGTAGGTAACCAATGCAAAATACATATAAGCAGAAATATTTTCTCACAAAATTACATAAAACTAAGCATGTAATTAATTCATTCAGGTATAATTTAAGTGGTATTAACATTATTGTATGTTTAAGTTTTTTTCAATTTAAACTACTTTAAATTAAATTGCTATACAATGGGTAATAATTGGTCATCTAGTACACATCAGCATATAATCAATATCATGAAGCAAAAACTTTAATCATTAATTTCTTTTTGCAAAATATCTTTGCTGAGAATATACTTGCAGCATTTTTATTAAAGGAAATATATAAGTAATGTATTAAAAAAACATTTTAAAATATTGTATAATGCTTTCATAAGACTAATCATACCATTTGCAGCATTTTGGTCTATAAAAATGAACAGAAAAAATAGAAAACATCTGTTGTCCTAATGCCACTACTTACCCGGGCTTTAAGATTTCTGATGGTACATTAATGCAGGAAGAATGTTTGATATGGGAATTAAGAAAGTCTTTTGATGGTCTTGCATCCATGATTAGAAGAGAAACTGAATTGTCCATAAAGAGTTCATATAATTTTTGACTTGTAATACAGTTCTCTTTTTTTCCTTCACCATCATCTAAAAAACAGGGAACACAACAATAATCTCAGAAACAAATAAAAAACTAATTAATTTCTTTGAAACTATGTGGGAGATTACAAAATACTATACGTTCATTAATTGTAAATAAAAATCTAATCAAAAACACCTTAGGTGTGAAAAAAGGATTGAGTTTGCAACCTAAAGAAATGAAACCAAAATTGACAGCCAAACTGGTAGCTACACTTTAGCATTGATAAGAATTTTATAGCAAATATTCATGCTTTTTATTCATCTTATGGCCTAATTGTGGGTAAAACAAATGGCTTCTAGGGTAGCAGTATAAGATAATCTACTACTACTACAGCACAGAGAAGAATAGCAATAATACATAACCTAGCAGTTACACTTAAAGGGGGGGGGGGGAAGAGACTGATGGCTTCTGAGGCACCCGAAGGTAGTAGATAAGTGAGCTCTGTAAACGTCTACGGAAAAAGCAAATAAACAACAATCCTGAAACAAATACATAAAGAGACAAACAATTTGTTAAGGAGTTGGAGATAAACAAGATATATTATGTATTCTTTAAGGTTCATAATGTAGATAAGGAATATTCAGTAAATAAACAATGAATAGATTATACTCTATTTCATTTCAGCTGTCATCAGGCTAAACTGAATACAAGTTTAAAAGTACAAATGATATATTGGAGAAGTAAAAACAAGCCTCATTAAAACATCAGAGTATATACATTGATACCAGAAAAAGTAAGCAACAACTAACAATATGAGTATTATGAATAAATCAGAGGGATGATGATATAATTACAATACAACTGTATTAAATATTAAAAAGAAAATCAAAAGAAAAATAAAAAAACATTACACAATTCATATTATAAGTAAGTGACATTTTACACACGTGTGTATGTACATAAAATGTTCAAACAAAATAGAGATATGTACACATACATAGATATATTGTTAATAAATAAATGAACACATACATACATGTGTATATGAAACATGTAACACAAATTTACACATATACAACATAAATATTCACACACACACACATATATATAAGTAGAACAATATATCTTGGAGCCAACAGTAAACATTAAAGTATGTCAAACCATAATGGATTGATGTCACAATTTCTCCAGTCTCTGTTGATACTCATACCCAGTCCATTCTTCAACTTCTTGATTGTCAGTGACTCTTTGTATTGTTCTTCCCATATACAAAATATAGTTTCCTTACATCCACATTCTATACTATATAATGCCCCTTTGGGTTCAAGTGGTAATATGGGTGCTTTACATTGGTAGCTGTTTCACAAAGTTGCTTTTGATTGGAAACCTACCCTATAACTGAGATTACTGAATATTCATCGAAGTTTATCACTCACTCCTTTCATACATGATAAGGAAATATACTAGCATGGTAAAGTTTGATAGTTATTTTTCTTTTTTGCTGATAATTTTTCCAGTTTGGGTGGATTGCTTGTTTAACGAACAACTTTGGACACACCCTTAGCTACAAACTCTTGTTTAATCAAGACTCGACAGTTCATTCTCTACAAAACTTTTAGATGCAAGTTCTTTTTTCCCCCAATCCCAAGTTTTGTCATCAAAAGAAAATTCAAAATGTAGTGTAAGTATCTGCTTGTGTGTTTTCTTCCTGTATACTTCTACCATAAGGCTCTGATTAGTGTTGGTAACTAATACATCCATGAACAATAACTGGTTGTTGCTAGCATTTTCTTGTGTGAACTGTATAGCTGGACATTTGCAGTTCAAATTACAATGAAAATTTTATAGATCTTCTTGCATGTGAGGCCATACCACAAATATATTGTCATGGAAGCAAATACAAACATTGAGACAGAACTAGCATTCTTAGAACTTCCTCAAATTTATAGATGGCACACAACAGGTAATTTACCAACCTTGGAAGATAGCTCAACAAGGCTGATAGACAGCAAAGGAAGAGAGTCAGCTAACAATGTAGCAACCCTAGAATATATCAAACATCATTGTGAGGATATTTGAGGATGCCACAGAAGATGGTAATGTGTCTGGTGTTGAAAAGTTGGCATATTATGGGAAACAATGGTTGAGCTGACTTAACTGAGAATTAAGAAGAGCCCTGAACTTTGAGTAACTAACTAGGCAAGTTCTTGAGGAAAAAGGAAGTGAGAAGGATAGGCATAAAAGAAGAGGTTATTCCAAGATTGACTAGGATGTTCACTGCCAGAGAATTTGGGTTTCAAACTGGAGACCACTATAGTAGAAGAAGATGGTTGAATACTAAAACTCAAATCATATTCTGTCGGCATGCGTCTCCTGAACGGGAGACTAGGTAGGTGAAATCCTAAAAAGACAAATATGTATGAAAAAAGGCTCTATGAAGATCAGCTGTTAAGTTTTTAGGTAGGGAGATGAGTACATTGTAACAAAGCATGACAGGCTAAAGTGTCAAAGAAATACAAGTCATATGGTAACAGAAACTACATCAGTGAAAACCTACAAGGTAAAAATTTAATCCTGAGTAAAAGAATCAGGAGAAGTGAGAGTAGCGGGTAGCTAATACTTATTTTGAAGAGGAAAAATCTCAAAATGAGACAAATCATAACATACACAGTAGCATACCAAAGTAAAAATAACAAAGACTGGGGGTCAAAATGTAAGATGGGTAGATGAAGACGACCCCACTATAGAAATCTATTAACATTTAGCTGGTCTCTAAGAGCATTAGCAATGACCTGAAAAACATAAAGAGCTGGGAAAATATTTATTAATTGAATCATCCAATATCACACTAGAGGCCTCTCGCATCACAGCAATTAGCTAGAGATTTGAAATAGAAAAAGACCCCAAAAAAATAGAGAAATATGACCAGTGGAAGCTCCTTCGAAATTAGAGCTACCTGCTCATCAGACAATGAAGTTGAATAGACCTAAGCATCATCTTGGGAAAATGGCAAATGTCCTGCAACTGATCATCCACATGAACATGACACTTAACAGTGACAACAGCTGACAATATGTAATTAACTGCCTGAAAATGTTTATCAATAAGGGCCAACAATACAGCCGTGAAAACTTCCTAGCATACTAAAAGCATATTATGTAAATAAGGCCTCCAAAGAAGTTGTAAAATTTCTGATATTAGTAGAAACATTTGAACACTTATAGCAGTAGATAACACATACATAGAAGGAAGGAGAGTAGAGAACTCTGATTAAGTTGATGAATGCTCTGGATTAGATCAAGAACATACAGAACTTTAGTCACATGGTTGAATTTCAGAGGTAAGTCTCCCTATTTTAAATTCTTTTTTTTTACTAACAAGTTTTAAATTGAGCTCACTAACATTCAATATTTACACAAGTTATACCAAGTACAATATTTTGACTTACCAGTTAATTCTTTTTCTCCATTTGTTTGTTCATGAAACAAAGGTTCAGTATGATTGGATTCAATAATGGTTTGTTTCTGTACAACATTTTCTTTTTCTGGCAAACTAGGACTTTTGTTAGTTTCTTTTTCTTCACTTTTTTTGCTTTCCTGAAGAACACCATACCTACAAAGAACAAATGACTATAACTATAGTGTTCAAAATACATCATAAGAGCCAGGAAAGTATATTTTGTAATATCTTTTCTTATTACTCCTTGTTTAAACTCATCCTTCTGACCTTGTTCTTGCACATTTATTTTTCTAGAGACACCATAAATAGTTGCTCAATTAAGATTTTGATTACCAGCAAAAATGAAACTAAAATGCTGCAACTTAGCTGTAAAAGTTGAAACAGCATGTTTTTTATTGCCCCAGAGTTTAACTGTTCTTTCTGATGAGATTTCTGCATGTTGTCACCACTACTTTCTTTTATTGATTGAATATAAAAGTTCTTGGTACAATTATGCTTATAGTTGCATTCTCCAAATACATATATAATTTTGTAACATTGACTGATTTGCTGAGGAAAGTGTTAGGCCTGTCTCTTGACTTACATGATATTCATAATAATGTAGATGATTTTTTAATGCTTTGGTCATGGGCATAAAATCTCACAGGAATTTATTAGTCTGATGCATTGAAAACAGTTTATTCAAACCCTGACTTTGAGTGACCACAAGAAAGTTTGATCTTCTAAAATGAATAAGTGGTAATTATTATCAGAAGTTTAACTTGAATTCTCCCTGGAAAAGTAATGATCGTTATTTTGCTAAGTTGTATGAAGTAAACTGTAAATAATATTTAAGACACCTTTCTTGAGATCAAAGTGTTTGAAAATGTTGTATGTATGTACATAGATTTTATGCCAATATAATTATTCTGAAAGATACTTGCTTTTGATGACTGTTATCAGAACACAGGATAAAAACATTACATCTCCCACTTATTGCATTTCCACAGGCACTAGAAATTTGTATTCAAATACAATACTGTAATGGTAAACAAAGATTACTGATTATTTATGGGCTTGGCTAAGCTTATTGGATAATCTTATTACTTTAGATACTTGATAATTAACTTAGTAGTTTTTGACAGTTTTGGCCAAGAATAATTTTATTATGGCTGCCATTTTTTTAATAACTACTCTGTATCTTGAGTTGCCAGAAATAATCAATGAGTAAATTTCAACACTTATACAATAATTATACAACACTGTACCTACATTATAGCTGCATAAACATGCATAAAACATATTACTTTTAAAAACATTAGAATGGTATCATGGTTGAAATGTTAAGTTTGCTCTTTTAAGTCTACCCGATTCCTTAATGCTAATATTTTTTATTTCACTTTGACACTATTAATTTGCATAGGTTTTGGAATGGCATAGAATTCCAACAATCCTTTTGAGAAAAAAAATTATGATTTGTTACAGGTGAAAACAAGTTAAATAATGTACTCTCACTTCCTCAATTGTTCATAAATCCAACACAATTATATACTGAATTTTAACTTTCATTTTAGATATTACACACATTTTCCTGAAAAAGTTACATTTCACTTTATAATTTAAGATCCAGAGTACTGATTCATATAGGGCAATTAGGAAAATAAAAGTGAGAGCTGATCATAAAAAGTACTTATTATTTAAAAAAATTAACATTTTCCTAAATTGAAAATGTATTTCCGATAGATACCTCTTCTTACAAAATAGCTTTTCTCGATTAGTACTGCCTTCTATAGGTACAAATTTTCAACATTTGCCACTAACCTTCCACCTCCTGCTTCTGCATATCCACGTGTAAATGATTATGCAGTAGCTCTCCACCAATAGGAGCGTGACACATCCCCTATCATAGCCAATGCCCCCTACACATTTGCATTCGGTAATCACTTCAAAACTGATCATAGGACTTACACCACATATCACTGGAAGTGTGGAAGCTGGGGGGAAATGTGAGAAGAGGTAAGTATGTATCAGAACTATATTTACAACTTCCAATATGATATCTTACCTCTCTCACAAAATAACAAGAATCATACATTAAACTAGTGGAGGGCCAGGGAAAAATTGATCCCTCTTTATGAAGCATCCAAAAAGAGACTATGATTTGTGGAACCCACAAAGAAAATATTACACCTCAGCGGGAGACCACACCACATCTCAGCCAGGTATACTCTTCCCTCTTTTAAGACTGTGTCATGAACATAAAAGGTGGAAAAACATAGACTCCCATAATACGTATTACCTATTAACCCTCTCAATACGAGGTTGGTCAATTTGGCCGAGTCACGTGACCTTTTGTACTTGTTTAAGTACAACGAAATTTGGCAGTCTTTCAGTTAATATTACAAGACTTTCATATACAAAAAGTCATATTTCTTAGTGAAGTACTTTTAATAAAATAAAGATTTGTCCATGAATATGTTGAGTATTTGTTTTGAATAGTCCATGTGCAAAGTAATTTTCATGTTAAAATTAAAAATATTTTTCGTCATCTCAAAAATCTCAAATTTCCTTTGTGTAATCCCTAAAACCTCCTAAATGCATTACAAACGTTTTTTTTCATTAATACTTTATAGTTTATCTGTTATTTCCTCTACCCAAAACAAGATCGGTCAATTTGACCAACCTCGTAACCACCAAAAAAAAATCAAAATAAACCTAAATTATCCTTTTTTTCTTTCCAGAATGACTTCATATTGTAACATGAAACTAGATGTTTTTTCCTAAGTAGCTCTAAGTTCGTAACAATATACATCTATTTATAATTAATATTGTTTGATTGCCCTTCGAACAGTGTCTAACTACTATCTGCACCATTACAAGTTGTAAATCACTCTGGGAACATGCAGCTCCTGTTACGCTATCGAATTACATTACCCACGAGCTGCTTGCATGAGTGCCTAATGAACCATTTTAATTATATTATTATTATTATTACTTATTTTATGTAATATAGTCTTAAATAACTTTAAAATAATGATATTTTTAGATTTTAGTTACTTTTATAAAAATAAATAAAGGATAAATATGAAAAAGAAGAAATAAAGTACTTAACTAAATTTCGTTTTTCTTGCTCTCAGGTTTTCGATGAGAGTTAACCCTAATTTTTTATTACTTTAGATAGTAATTCACTTAATAATTTTTATTTAATTAAATAATGCACCAAAGAATATAGACTAATAACATGCAAAAAGTAGACAAATTCCCTTAACTCTAACAATTTTCCTGGATTTTTAACTATGTGACAAGAGCCGTTACAAATTCATCCAAGCTAGTCGTTAACTTTCCCACGGGAACGATTCTTGTACTGTGAGTGAAACTAACGATATTCTGTTCAGAATACAATGTTATACAATAAGTCAATTGATAAATGAAAACCTTGACTTTCTATTGGTTATAGGTAATATACAATGAAATGTAAGAGAGAACTATCAATGAACTGTGAAAGAGAGGATGTGATAGGTGAGTGTGGCAGGAGGGGTCTGATTTTCTATTTGATAGCTCTGTAACCAAACAAAATTGAAGGGTATAAGAATTATGGTTTGTTTATAGAAATTATTTTACATTTAATTTCATATATTTTTAAGGGGTGATGGATAAAATAGGGATGATGACATGCTAAGACAAAATGTGTCATGTGGGTCACACTAGTGGAAATTCAGGATTTTTTAAAATATTTCCTTGTAGAATTAAGAACTTAAAACTTGTATATTATTAAAACATGAATTATTAGCTAAGATTTTATGTTATTCTAATTGGTATAACTTAAACAAAAAGTAGTTTAATAAAATTTCGAATGTAAGACACTAAAACCTTGTGTCACGTGCAGTAAAGGGTACCCAGGGCAATAGGGTTAATGGTGTTGAGTGGCTAGGGCATAACAGACCATAGTGGTAGTCCGACCTCAACCAACAGCTGAAGGCATCTGGAATCGTACATCAATTCCATGGTAGGCAGAAGATCACCTACCTCTTCAAACTGAAACAGGAATTTGTAGGAAAGACAAGCTTCTGCACCAAAATTCATCTCTACTTGCACGCATTTCCAATCCAACCAACACCTGATCCATCACAAACTGAAATCCAGTGGATGGGAGGAAAGTGGAAAGCTCCAGAAGGATGACATCTCTGGTCCAAAATCAGGCAGCATTGGATATGTTACTTCCAGTCCACAGTAGGAGGAGAATGCCCAACTGTACACAAATAGGAATACATGTGCTGCATTCAGCTAAAAGCAACATCAGATCTGCCAGGAACCAACATTTAGCATATGGTAGGAAAATGGATCACAAACCTGGGTTGCTTCTCCAGTCCAAAACCTGGCAGCATTGGGCATTTTTCATCCAGTACTCAGTAGGAAGAGGGATACTGGCCAAAACACGTGAGGACTTGTTTAGCTGGACCATCTCCAACCAACACCTGACCCCCAGTCTTTTTGGGCACAACATACAGATGGGAGTAAAACCCTGGCTGAGAAGGTTCCCCAAGTTCTATGGCCTCTATCCGAAGTAAGTCCCGAACACTTTCTTTATATGCTGGAGAGAAACAGGATCCAATGGGGGGTGGGGGCAACAGGATAAGGAGACAACAGAGGAGGGGAATGGAAGTGAAGTGCCAGACTCTCTGAAAGAACCTGATGAACCCATGGATCCGTTGTAAACGGTGTCCACATATGAAACAAAATATAAGTCTGTGGTATAAGGGAAAATGTCAATAAATGTGCGAGCAAAAACAAGCACGTCTGTACAGTAATACTGCCAATCTTGAAGTGATTAACGAGTGCAAATGTTGAGAGGGTGCTGGTTACAATAGGGGTTGTGTCACGCTCCTATTGGTGGAGAGCTGCTGCATAATCATTTACATGTGTATATGCAGAAGTGGGAGCTGGAAGGCTAGTGGCAAGAGTTGAAAATTTTTGCCAATAAAGATCAGTACTAATCGAGAAAAGCTATTTTGTGAGAAGAGTTAAGTTGTCATATTGAAAAATAATTGTGCTCAGAAAAACAAAGAATTAAAAATAACAAGAGGCAGTCCTTAATAGTTGTGGCACTTAATATTCTTTTAGGCAGGATTAGAATAAATTAATCTATGACACCTTTGTTTTCCTTTTTATTAGATATATTTTTGTGCACCAGCAATACCAAAGGTGGGACACGAATATACCCGATTCAATTTTATTACTCATCAGAATCTCTACCATCCAACCCTCAAATTGGAATTATTTTAGGTAGGATTCAAGTAAGTTGATCTATGAGACCTTGAGCATGGTCAAATACATTAATCAAAAGGGGATTGACTTCCTGACTCCAAAATAAATTGATCTATGAGACCTTATGCATGGTCCAATACATCAATCAAAAGGGTTTGACTTCCTGACTCTAAAATAAATTGATCTATGAGACCTTAGGCATGGTCCAATACATCAATCAAAAGGGTTTGACTTCCTGACTCCAAAATAAATTGATCTATGAGACCTTAGGCATGGTCCAATACATCAATCAAAAGGGTTTGACCTCCTGAATCCAAAACTGTAATTAAATCTCAAATCAGTCAAGAGATGACAAAGCTATGAGCTAAAAGTTTGCACTTGGAAAAACTCTATGAGCCGCTATAACATGGCTAAAAATAACTACTCATGTCAGACATCCAAATACTGGCATATTGTATATCATTCACAACGTGCAAGCAACAATGCAATCAGTTTGTCCTCTTTCTTTCTCACAGGATCAGCTTGATACATTTCTGATGGCTTATCTTTTTCCCCCCCACAAAAAATTTTAATAAACGTATTTACCAGAATTTAAGGGTCAACTAAGTCTCATTTGCCAAGTTAAAAATGAGATTAACTCATCAATGTCCAGATCTCACAAACCTTCATTAATGTTTATTCTCAATGTATAAAAATCCATTGTTGATCAGTATATTAACCTCTAAGCCAGCAAGCATGGTAAATTTCCAGTTAATATTACCCAAAATTTCATATTTTTTGAAATTGCAAATTTACAACTTTTAAAATGAATAATTTACACTATGAACTTCAGAATGATAAACACATTAATAAAAAATACCAAACAAACATTTTTCAGCTGTCATTTTGAACATTAATTATAATATGAATGAAGATATGCTGCATATAATCAATTTTTGTCTCTGGCCACAGATATCTTTCTATATACATTCTTGAAGTTTTTAGAATTTATAAAAAAAAGTGAAGTTGGACCTTATATGGTCAAATCACATATTTGGTAACCTGTGGATGCTTACTATTCACATCCTACCAACGATACACAAGTAAGATGGTCTTCTAAAACTTTTAGTTCAAACACAAATGGTATAAATGACAAAATCTCAAACTTTATTGATTTTTGAAGTATTCTCCTAATTTATTTCTAAAAGAACTGAAGCCATTTAGTGACACCTTAAAAGTAATAAAATTAGTCATATTCGGAAAGAAATCTCTTCGTCACTCTTAAAAAAAAAAGTGGTATTTTTGCTGTGTCTGTACATATATATATTTCTACATAAAAGAATTTACTTAGAATTTCTTTCTGCTAAATGCTCATTTGCTTTGAAGTATCACATACCAGCCCAAAATTATTTTGTTTTTTACTATCATTATGGTGTATGTATAATGCAACTAAGGGCATTAACATGGCTATCAATTATAAAAGTTTGTCCATAAAAAAAACTGGAGCTGCTTTTATGATATTTATCACATTCAAACCTTCCACTACAGCTCAAATTCACTGGTGGCACATGTGTTAGCTAAACATGATTCTAAGTCTTCCAAGACATTTTTACAACACTTAAATATTTCCTTTTATTTTGTATATTGTTAAATTTGTTGATTACTAATAGATTCTATTACTCATAAGGAAAGAAACATAAGTACTTATGTTTAATGAAAACCTATAAACAAACAATGGTACTTACATGTTAACATTTCTCATCCAAAACATGCTATCACTAAAAAGAGGTATTATACAACAAAATATTATCATCTTATGAATACATGGATAAGGGACAGTATTTACATGAAAACACACAGTTATTTATACAGGGAGATATCTATTACAAACAGTTGCAAAGTAAGAAGAAGTGGAAAATTAGGTATATTTCTTTCCATAAATCAACAGTTGTAGCTAAAGATTATAGATGAGGTAATGTATCTTATTTGAACTTGTTTTTCTTGGGCTATTGAGGATCTTCAATAACTGAAGAACCATGCATGTATATGTATAATTTTGACTATGTTATTCATCCTTGAAAACGATGTTACTGAAGAAATTTCACGAGGTTTTGTATCATGACACAAATATATTTTACGATACCTTTTAGATAGACTTGCACTCAGTTTTTCTGCTGAAGTCAGAGTTTCTTTGAAGCTGTGTTCTCCCATCAACTTGTCAAAATATTCCTAAAAGTATATCAAACAAAACAAAAATAAAGGAAGTGTTTACAGAATACAAGAATTGTCCAATTTATAAGTTACAACTATCTACTTAGTTTCAACTACATGTTTTAATAGTGAAAAAGAAACAAGAAACATTAATTTCATAGAGTATCCTAAAGCATAAGCTATCTATTGACAAATTAATAATAAGGATCTTCAAATTTAAACAATGATCTAAGTCAACACTTTTTCATATCTAATTCCAAACAACAAAAGTCATGTTAAAATGACATCTCCTTCACACATAAAACCCGAGAAACTGTAACAACAATTATTATACTAGTAACATCTTAGGAACTGATCTTACATAATAATAATTCTAAAAGCTGTAAACACAAAGTTTGTGTTATTTTTTAACTGATACTTTTATTTAAAAAATAAAAGTGGAAAAAGGAGTTGAAACTACTCTTATACATAAACAGTTTGTGACTAATTGTAGTAAAACAGTGAATCTGGGTTTAAACAGCCACTCAAGTCAAACTTAGGCAGAACTGTGGAAGCAAGTCAACTTTATTCAAAATTAATGAAACTGCTCTTTAATCCTTTTCCTGGATACTTTTAATTGAATATACAGAGGATAAAACAAAGTATCAATAGTAAAAATCTATAAGTTACTATATATATATTGAGTTACGTTAGACTTAGCAACTTTAAGGACGAGCTTCAGTATCTAATTTTTATCATTTTTACTGCAAATCTAAAAACATTAGTCAGATATTATTTATACCAATGATAATATTTACTGTCCCCTTATATACATATATTTCAACTCACTGTAATTATGTTAGTCTGAGCCAAGGTAAGGATAAAAAAATTTAAGTTTTAAGTAACTCAGTTTTTGTAGTTTTGACTTTCTTGTTTCAGTACTTTTTGTAGCATTAAAACTTTCTATATTACTATAGATAGCTAGGTTATGTATATATTGATCCCTAACTTTTCATTATAAATTTGAATTTTGTTATTATACTTGTTTGTTCCATTTTTACTAGTTATATTTTTGTGCATTAGCAATACCAAGCATGGGGCACATGTATACTTGATTCAATTCTATTACTCATCAGGATCTCTACCAACCTACCCTCAAATTTAATTATTTGCCCAAAGTAGAGCATCATCAGTTTTATACAAGTATCCTTTTCAGTACAAGAAAGGAATCATTGGGACCCCAGATGGAAGAGTTCTGTGAAAGAATTAGAGTGTTAAGGTTACTCATCAGGATCTCTACCAACCTATCCTCAAATTTAATTATATGCACAAAGTAGCACATAGTCCATTTTGTATATATATATGTACTAGTACCCATTTTGGTACAGGAAAGGTAACATTCAGGTTGACTATGAACTCCAATTTTCCAGGAGCAGGTGTATTCTTTGAGAGTCTGAATATGTGCCCACCTGATGGTGGTAGGCTGAATCAAGTAGTTCCGACAACTGTGGAGGCCAAGGCATAGCTGTCCCTTCACATAACTGAGCAGTAAACCTCCCTATATGAACCACAATATCAGTGGATGGAGGGTGAACTAAGTATTTGCTCCCAGACCTTTCAGGCATCAAGGAAGGTGCAGGCTCAAAGGCAACTGGGGAAAGACCCAAAATATCACACATTCAATGGACCAACTGAATAAAAAGAGCCTGAAGCAGCTTATCTCAAAGTGGTCTCCCAAGAAGCCAACAGAATAAAAGAAGGCACAGGAAAAGACAAATCTAAATTCTCTCCAGAATTCCTAGGATCCCCCTCAAATGCAGCCTCAGACCCCCCCTGGAGGAACACCACCAAGTCAAATATATGTCTTCTGCATCTCACTACAAATAAGGTCAACTCAACAATCAGTTACCAGTCACACATCTTGTTACCAGAAGCAACTCAAGAACAAACCTTAATGAAGTCAAAATGGCAAAACATTGGTAAAAATATAAAGTTTTTTGTTGTTTTTTTTATCTAGAGAGTAAAGGTTGTTTTTTTCTAACTTTATTGCCAAAGTATCTTAATCTCTCCAGTATGCACTACAAATTCTGAAAGACAAGAAAGTATAAGATGCTAATTTTCATCTACTTTTTATGTGCTCAGAACAATTTAAAAACAGTTGTTACATGTAAACTTTAAAATATATAACATGTTTACAAGCTGAATGGAAAGCAATCAGTCAAACATTAAGCAAACAAATTATAAATTTCTGATCAGTGTTTGCCAGTGTTCAATGACATTGAAGACTTATACTATATATAATAAATCATATTCTATACCCATCAATCTAAATACAAGTTCTGTATGAATGTTTTCTGTGGCACATTTTTACAAGAACTTCTTGTTATAGTGTAAACACCTATGACACTACATACACTGCAGGTTTCAGTTTGACAATTACAATACAACAAATGTATTGTACAGTACAAAACATTTTCAAGAAACTGATAGAAACTTTTTTAGCTTATCAAACGATATGAGTTTATAAAAATTTATATATCACACTCTCTCACACACACACCTTGTTTTTCTGATATTCAAGTGTCTTCCTAATGGACTTTACAAGGGAAAAGTACCTCATAAACAAAACATATGATTTTTCTTCATCTCCAAGTTGTTGACAAGATCTTGCTTCATTGTATACTCTCCTGGCTGAGGTACATGCTCTGATGGAAAAAATAAATAAAAAACTTGAAATAATAAAAAAGTTATGAATCAAGTAGTTATAAAAAATTAATATAAATGTTTACAAAAATCATTACCTATTAATAATTTATACAAGATAAAAAACTTCATAATACTTTAATTACTAAATACTCACTGCTATACACTGTTAAAACATTATCTAAAGATGAGATGTCACTGAAATATCTACAACAAATACAATGGAAGCTACTCTATCTACAAATTGACTAAAAATGAGATAAAAACAAATAAATTAAAAGCATACCTTTTGTACTAAAGCAACAGTTACATCCTATTTGCTAAATTTTGGGGCAATATTTAGCTATATATGAACCTAAATATAAGCAGGATTATTCTAATAGGATTATAATCATAAAATTAAAAAATGATATCAAACACCATTAAATTTTGCAAGTTTTCAATTGCATACAGTAGAACCTCATTAATCTGAATGAATTTGCAAGCAAGTAATTCTTCTGGGTCACTAAGGCATCTAGAAAGTCAAATAAGTCACTTTGAGTACACTGACTACTACTGATAGCATGCGTTATTCAATATATCAGAAAAACCCAATAACCGAAGCACTTTCGAAAGGTGGAGTACTTGGGTGATAGGGTTTTATCATCTAATAGCATGCATTATTGATCCACAAATGTAAGGTACAAACTAGTAAGGATGGGCATGCAACTGGTAAACAAAAATCAACTATATGTGTAATATAATTATTAATTTAACATTTTATATGTTGACAATAATTACACAAATTGCATGAACAAGTGGCATATTATGCTAAAATCTTTACGTAAATCATAATTTTGTACAAACCAATGACTTTCTTATGGAATACAGAATCCACAGTACATGTGTTGCTTTTTTTAATAAACAAACATACCATTTTAATAATGCTGTCAAAAAAACACGTAGGTTCAAGAAGTCTTGATACAAAGTGATAGAAACCCTATAACCCAAGCACTTTCAAAAGGTGGACCTTTCGCAAGTGCTCGGGTTATAGGGTTTTTAATTATTTTAATAATGCTGATTTTTCTGTGTCTTCATTTTGGAGCATTGTGACTTCTGTGATTGTAGTATACATCACTCTGATGAACTCTCAATACCTACTATAGTTTATACATACATCCATATTGTGATAGTCGTTTCTCATAAAAACTCTCATAAACTAGTATCAACTGCAAATGTTTTGTGGTCAGTAATTATCACCTCATTTCCTGTTCTGATCACTCCCACTTTGCTCTTATGAAGTTTAAAGCAATCTAGAAATTCATACCAAGATATCAAAACTTTCTGGCTCCACTCATACCCTTAAGCATCTCTTGAGCAAAGTCAAATCAACAACTTCTGTAAGACAAATGTCTCATACTAGTCGATTAGTGTTACTGATAAAGTCTGAAACACACATAATCAAATCCAAGATTAGTTCAGGCAGATAAGTCACAACCCAGTTCAGCCAGAGGATGTAACAATTGCACATAGTAGAGCATGTGACATGTAATGAAATGAACTATGTAGCATAACCAATCTCTTTTTTTTTCTTTATCAATCCACCTTCATAGTGAGGGTATAACAAAAATACATCAGTTATTTAACACATCTCATGAAAATGGCGATACAAATCTGGATAGTAATAAAAAATCTCATAATAACATTATTCTGGTGCTTCCAGAAGCTCATAATAAACAAAAGTACCAGCGGTAATGTCATTCATTTATCACGATGATGATACCAGATTGTGTACAGATGAAGCCCATGGCAAGGCTTTCATGCTCAGATACATTAACCAACGTAACCATGGTGATATGCAGGAGAGGTTCAATCTACAGCAATCCCTAACTAAACTACAACTACATGCTGATATGAAAGCCATCTATAACTTCTGCAAAATACACCGAGTCAAAAATATATCTAACGATGGAGCTCCCTGTCTGGATGATGTAAGAATCTTCACATTTAACAAACTTTCAGAAGCCAACAAATTGATATTAGTATAGCAGGGCAACAGGTAGCACCCATAAAATATTGACTGATGGCTTTAACTCTTTCACTACAGGCTTGGTCCCAGAGACCAGCCTCGTGACCGTCTGTGCTTGTTATAGTATTCATGTTATAACTTTTAATACAGTAAGCGTATCTTCAGGAAATTTTACACATTATTCGGAAACATTACAAGGCTTTTGCATACAAAATGTCAGATCTTTGTATCAAGTTTTAAGATTTTTTTAAGTAATGATTCGCTCATTAATTTTTATTTTCAAATGTTGCCTATCCAACATGTAAAGTAATTTTGATTTTAGAATTAAAAATACTTTTATACATCAGAAAATATTCAAATTTCACATTCAAAATCTTTATAACATCCAGATAATTATCAAATAATTTTTTTACAAAAACTTTATATTTTATTTGTTATTTTTCCCTATTGTTTGGTTGATTTGACTGACCTTATTACCACCATAAAAAATTAATAAATAGATATAAATTATGCTTTTTTTAATTCTAGAATGACTACAAGTTATAACACAAAAAACACAAATGTTTAGCCTAAATAACTTAAATTATATATATATATCTATATGTATTTATTATTAGTATTTTATTGACCATTCAGCCATGCCTCACAAACATTACAGAAGTTGCCTCTACTCATGTTATTGTATCCAAGAATATGAATCTGGCCTTTACAAAGTGACCTGTCTTGATTGTGTTCTAGTATTTTGTAAAATAGTCACATTTTGGTTATAATACGTTATATACATTATTACTATTTACAAATAAATTCTTAAATTTTTTTTCTTAAAACATAGAACAGTAAATAAAGAAGTACAGAAAACAATTATCTCTTTTAGTTACGAACTTTGTACTTGTTTGCTGCTTGCCATAAGTTGCTAAGCCTTATCAAATTTTGCACATGGAGGGTGCAAGACAAAATATTTTTTTAGGTTTTATATTTTGAAATAACAAAAAATCATAAATTACTATACCAATACCACAGATTTCCACTATAATTTATCAAACTTAGTAACTAAGCTGTATTTAGGTCTAAAAAAAATATGATTTTTTGAGCTGACTAATGTCTTATCTTACTGCTTGGAATCTAGCACAAAAAGAAAGTTTTCCATAAAAATACTTCACAGAGGCTGATAAAATCACTAGGTTGAATGAAGCACTGGTCCAAATTAGATGTTTATGAAATCTAAATACTAAGTCTATAGTTTTGAATGATTTAGAAACTCAAATTACCGATACTGACAATACAAAATATGAGCCTCTTATCTTTTCAATTTGTGTCACCCTGCCCACCTCTTTCCATTTTTGGAAATGCACCCTTATATTCACTTACTTCTATATAGGACATGAATAACCAATTGGAAGCTCAGAATGTCCTCGTGGTGGCTTTCTCAGCCATTATAACAGACTTGGTGCCATTCTTTCTTTTGAACCAATATTTCAACAAGGTAGGTTGTGTCTTAAGTCTGCTCCAAATTTCCTTTTTTTTAGACTAAAATACATCTTAGTTACTAAGCTTGATAAATTATAGTGGAATTCTATGGTATAATTTATGATTTTTTAGTTATTCAAATGTATATATAAAACCTAAAAAATATTTTGTTTCATATCCTCCCCGTGCAATTTTTTAAAGGCTTAGCAACCTATGTCAACCAGCAACCAAGTACAAAGGTCATAACTATAAGAGATAATTGTTTGCTTTACTTCTTTAGTTACTGTTCTGTTTTAAGAAAAATAAGCTTAAGAACTTATTTCAAAATAGCAATAATTTATATATATATATATATATATATAATGTATAATAATTGTAAATTTAAATGTATTTGACAAAATACTAGTCTACTAAAACACAGCCAAGACAAGTTACTTTGTACAGACCAAAGGTCAGTTTTATGTTATTTGATACGGTGAGTGCACATGATCCGCATCATTGTAACTTCTGTATTGTTAGCCAGGTTTGGCTGAAAAGTCAATATAATAAAAATAATAAATGTATAATGTTATGAGATTTAAGCTATTTAGTCTAAACATTTATGTTTTCGTGTTATAATTTGTGTTGATTCTAGAATAAAAGAGATATAATTTAGATTTATTTTCTAATTTTTTATGGTGGTGACGAGATCAGTCAAATCTACCGAACCCGTACAGAGATTAATTACTGAAAATAACAAATGAAATATAAAAATATAAAAGTTTTTTCTTAAGAAACATTTGATAAATATCTCGACATTATAAAGATTTCACATGTGAAATTTAAAAATTTTCTGGTGCATAAAAGTATTTTTAATCTTAAAATGAATATTACTTTGCATGATAGATAGGCAAAATGTGAAAAGAAAAAAAAGATATGAGAAAGACATTGCCTGATAAACCTTAAGACTTGATAAAATAATTTGATATTTTGTGTATGAAAGCATTGTAATGTTTACTGATAATCTACAAAATTTCATTAACATTTGCTTACAAATTTAAGCATTGCAGAAATCCAACAGCTTACAACAATTTTTCTTCACTAGATCCTTGCAGTGTACAGACCATGCATTCCATCACTGGGTCACTGCTCTTTTCATCTAGAATATTATAGCTCCACAACTGCACACCAGCCAAGCAAGAAATTGTCTAAAAGGTGCTTAAAGAGATTATCATTGGTGGATACATGCTATAGAGTATCCACTGAGATAATTCATATATATATATATATGAGTGTGTGTTAAGGAACACGCACTCCACTTGTTAAAAAATAATATATTCAAAACAAGAAAAACGTAGGTACAAAAATTCTTTACACTATGGAGATCACAATTGTACCTGAAACACTACACAGTTCTCTTCTTCTTGTCAAAAGTCCATTTAGGCTAATTCAATTGCTTTAGAATCCATTTGACAAGCCAAACTATTTTTCTCTACTTTCATCACAACAGTATCGGTGAATAATTCACTTACATTGCCTTGTGGGTTATCACAGTTGTATCCTGAACTTCCAATAATTGTCTTCTCTCCATCAAAGTCCACACAGGCAGGCTCAATAGTTTAGAACACCCTTTGACAAGACAAATCATTCTCCTTATCCCTATCACACTATTAATCTCCCTTTAACATATCAACCATTAAGGCAATATACTCTCACAACAGCTAACTTTACAATTTCCAACTTTTCGCTGTCTGCACTTTTCTTTCATTTGATGTTGTTTTGTCCCCGCTCCCACTCGTTTTGTCGCCACTATTTATATGTTTATCACTGAGGCCTCTAGAAAATTCTATAGTCTCAACATCAATGAATTGCAAACCCAATGTACGACAGCCTCGACATCTATGAATTACAAACACAATGTATGACTCTTACTGAGTTACATAACCAAATTTGTCATAACTATCACCTTTAAAATAATTCTCTTGTTATGAAAAAAATAAACAATCTTGAAATATTAACTCCCAAAATAAATTAAATAATAATGCCTACACTAAACAGTCTTGTATATCCAACATGTCCCTACTCTGCACCTGTTGTAGAGATAGGTTTTTCAGCAACACTGCTTCAGCAGTATTTGTACATTTTCTTTTCCAGACCATTCTGTACTTGACGAAAAAAAAAATAGCACAAGGGACGAGGAGAAGCTGATTAACCACATAATAATGGAGTCTCAGCCCCAATCCATGCAAGATAGGTGAGTGCCATTCCTACCCCCCATGACTCGATTGAAGACAACAAGGAGATGCAATACCAAAATTAAGAGCATAAAACTGGAAGACCTGATCCCAATGGATGGAATAGTGAAACCATCTGGGGGTTGGGGCGATCAAAATGCATCCAAAACATCTACCTTGGCTATCTACAGTTGAATGAAAAGAGCCACCAGAGAGAAAAGAAACTCACCATACAGAACCAAGGGATGAGAAAAAAACTGCTTAAAAGATAACAGGTTGATAGCCGAATGGCAGTCCCTGGTCTTCTTGGGGACCACAAAAAATGAGAGTAATAATCCTCTTGTTGGCATTCTTGGCCAAGAGATCTGAAACCATATCCTGAAAACATTAAAGATAAAGGGGATCAGAAGAAGGAGGAAAGAAAACTGAAAAGGGGGAAGATAAGTGGAGAGATAGGATGTGTGTGTGAGAACCTGAAGAAGTCATATGTGGGATGAAAATGTAGGCCGAAGGTTGGCGAAGAGAGACATAATAACCACCACAGGGGTTGAAGCAAAATCAAGGACAAAAATTGATTCATTTGAACATATCACCTTTTGCTACTGTTCCAGAGTTCAAAGTTTATGACAACTGTACCTTTGTATATTTGCCAGTATAATGACAGGTTTGTGTATAGCCATTCTATATTGGTTTTCAGCTCACACTATACATTGTAGTTCTTTGTTATAATGGTTTCATGCATATTATGCTGAATTCAAAAGTTTTTGGTTTCTGTTGTTGTTGTCTGGCCTCTTTGTTTCACAATGTGGCTTACTGTACAGCAGTCTCAACAGCACACCAAAGCTTTACTATCATTCTTGCTCTTTATATATCACCAGTCCTACTGAACTTTGGCTGTGGAAGCCCCTACTAGATAGATAGACCCTGTAACATGAAGACATAAAAGTTGTTCCTTGAAAACAGTGATGTTTGAAAATGAACAATATTGGAAATAGTAAGCCCTTTTGCACAAACACATCAGATACTGGATTTTCATGCTTAATGTGCAGGTTTGTTCATTTACATATATAAACTTTAAAAAGGAGTGCAAGTGCCTATTGAAACTAGCATGTGTTTCAATTTTTTGTCCAACCCGTGTTTACATGTAACAAATTGTTGACTTACGTTTTTATATTTTTCACATCTTGTAATGGAGTGTCCGTGAGTTTGTTGAGTTCTTTTAGTGATTTAGCTAGGTACAAGTTTTTAACTCCAGCACCTGGCATTTTGACCTAAAAAACAAAAACAAATTAAATTAAACCATTTCACAGTCAACCAGTCAAAATTATAAACAAACATTTTATTGAGATAAAATACATAAGTACATATGATGTATGTAACTACAATGTTTTGACCAGACGTTTTCATGATAACATTAAAATATGTATTGTCTACTACCATAAGAATTGTATTAAACAATTTTGGTGAAAGAATTCAGAATTCAAAATTCCATACTTTTAAAACTAAAACATATCAGCTCATGCACTTCACACATCATTTGCATGATTTTAGGGATAGTGTACATATGTATTCCATCTTCACAAATCAACTTATTTCTACTCATTTAGTATATGTTGGCAATTAGGAAGAATTTGCCCAAAATATGTTTGAAAATGTATTACTTAAAAATAATTATCTAATCAAACATTATCAAATGTAATGAAAAGATCCTGAAAGAATTTGCAAATAAACTATTATACGTACACACAAAGTCAGAACATGCTTAAATTGTGATTCCTCAGGTTTTCATTCTTGGTTCAGGTTCCACAAACAATTTTTATATTTCCACTGAGTTAAGCCTGCTACTCATAATATCCAAAATATTCATGGATCAAAAGATTATTCCATGACAAATTAGCAAAGGATGATGGATTAAAACTCTTCCTTCTCCAGCAATGTAATGGTAGATTGTAGGGAATTCACACTGTATTTGTCAATTGATTTGTAACAGAATGACTAATTTGTTGTAGCAAATCATTCTTTAATTATTTCCTATTAGAAATTCAATCTCGCACTTTATTTGTATATAATTTGTATTGTAAATAACTTTTGGATCATTAATTCTACATATTTCATCCAATAAAACACTAAATTAATTTTTTCCTCAGAAATTACAAAATATAATGTTTTTATTGGGATTGTTGTCACTTTTCCTGACTCAAAACAAAGCCATTAACAAAACAAAAACATAATTTCAAGTTGTATATTTGGAATTTAAGCAATCATACCATTGCTAATTGTTAACACACAACCAATTTCAAATACTTTAATAAGCACCATTTAATAAAACATTAAAAATGATATGATAGTGGTGAATTTCATAATGAGATTATACTTCAGATGACTGGTGAGCTTGATTGAACAATTTGATTCACTCTTACTCTTGATATGAGGCATGACATAGACTGTTAATACATTAATCTTGATGTTCTGTCCCGCTTCAAGATTTTTGTCTTCACACTGTAAACCAAGTGTTAGACTGGATCTCATTGAGGTGTTTAAGATTATTAAGGGAACTAATAGTATCGATGCATCATCTATTTTATGGTGAGAATAATAGGACAAGAGAAGGGGACAAAAATATACTTTTGGCAGAGTCATCTTTAGCTTAAACAGTTATATTTTTCTAACAGGATGGTTATCCCTTGGAATGTTTTACCATCAGATGTAGTAGATTCAGTAAATTTAAATAAGCTAACAGATGGCTCAATAAACATTTAAATGATTCAAATTCATGAGACAGTCTTGACAGAACAACAAAAAGCTCTACCCCATTTACACCCCCTGATGCAATTAAAAGAAAAGAAAGATATGATTTTTTCTTTGATAGATAGTTTAGGCAGAAAAGTAATATTTTGTTAACTGTAAAAAAAAAAATGAATGAGAACTGCCTATTACAGAAACACTTGTAGAAAATATATTGGAGACTAAAGCAGAAGACTTTCGAAGCATCTTCCTCTACACTTGATCTGCGTAAGTAGATTGTATGGTCACCAATATATTTTCTACAAGTGTTTCTCTTATAGGCAGTTCTCATTCATTTCACAGTCAACTCAAGATGATCTTAAAACTATACGCAGTATTCCATGCGAGGCCTACCAAGTGATTTGTATAGAGGTAATTTTTTTTTTTACTCCTAATCAAGCTGTCTATAAATACATTCTAAATCCTATTAGTAATATATGCAATACATCACTGACTCAATAGCTTGGGTGACTTGTATACACCATCATGCAAAGATATTTAACTCATTTACACAGTGTAAAGAGTTCCCACTTGTATAAAACATATGATCCAAATTATAATCCAAAAGCATTATTTTGAATTTACTAATTGATTCAGGTCATTTTGTAGCAACTCAAAATCCTTAGTACAGCTATACATACTCATGAGTTTTATGCCATCATGAAACCTTACTAAATTGCATAATATTTTCCTATCAATATTATTTATGCCAATAAGAAAAAGCAAAGGCCAAACAGTGACCTCTGAGACATGCCACAAGAAGTGAGGGGGTCTAGTTTAATTGGATTCCATTAAAGGAAACTTTTTGCATTATCTCATACAACCTTCCAAAAATCCAACTAACTAGTTTTCCCCACCCTTTATCAGTGTTATTTTCTTAACTAATCATATGTGTTGACCTTATAACAATCCTTTGGAAATATTTACATACATCAAGTCCACATACTTTCTATCATTAAAATAACAAGTAAGATCTTTAAAAAAAAATATATATATATACATATATCAGTTTAGCAAGGCAACATTTCCCTTTAAAGAATACATGTTGGTTCTCTCATATAGTTAATCAGATTCTCTAGAATTTTTCCAAAACAGAAGTAAGACTAACTGCTAAGTAATATCCACAGCAATTCTTATCATCCCTTTTTATAAACTGAAGATATGTCAACAATGCTTTGATCCTTAAGTATACACTCACTGTATACTAACCTTCCAATACCTAGTAACTGTCATTACTAAAATAATTCACCTGATAACAGTAGATACATATATATATATATATATGTGTGTATAACAATATAAATTTAAGGGACAAGAAGAGACCTACTGATCCAAGGAGACTGGCCCATCCACTTCAAAAACTCACATCCAGCTGCGATGTCTTGAATATTTATCGAGTCATCTCTTAAGTTCCCTTAAATTAAATTGACTGTATCCACCAATTCAGAAGGCAACCCAATCCAAAGGTCAACCTCTCTGTTAGTGTTAGAAAAGTAAAATCACCTAACTCTAAGCTGAAGATGACTGTTACTGTTACACTGCCAAACTTTTATATTTGTGTCCCCTTGTCCTACCACTCTCACCATTAAATATGAAAATTGATATACATTTTAAACTATATCCCAATTACATAAGATGCCAATATAGACAGGTAATACTAATAAGTTATCAAAAATATTAGTACTACTAACAGTTAACAATACTAACAGTAATACTATACCTTTTGAAATTATTTGTACAAAAACAAAAAGGCCTATCTCAAATTCAATAATACATGTATTAAAAAATATTTACTGTTAACTTTTAACTTCTGCGCAACATTAACAACAGTAAGTCCTAATTAAGCAATTTATTAAGTTGAAAATTAATAACATTAGGCCATTCAGTCTTGGTAGTAAACAGATGTTCCCTCTAGTGGCTATTATAGGCGTAACAACATTAACAAAATCATTTAATTTTTCAAGTTTAAAGATAAATAATTTGTACCTATTCAAAATATATTTTGCAATCGTGTTAAAAACATTTATTGTTGTAACGTATTTTATTGTTGGGCGGGTTGTTTTAAATTATCTGCTAAAAATAATCCGAAATCCATTCAACTTAACTGTAGTAAATTAGTTTATTTCTTCCTTAACGTTTGTTACAATAGAAGCTAGTTTCACTTTTAGTTGTAAGCTTAAATGCACAAATGACGCTTCATAAAAAAATTCCGAGATTTATGATACGCATGCCTAACTCAACAAATAAACTTCTTTACATTTACAGAGAGAATTTCATTGCTAATTGATCGAATAACTGAATAAACTCGATAAAACTCACTTCTTATACTGAACTGTGAATAAATTTTCTGAACTAAATGAATAACTCACTGAATACTCCTTGACTGCTCTTTAATTACTCACTACACATCCCTAACATCATATTTATAATGTACCCATGTCTCTAGACATTAGATGACTCTTCTCTGTTATTATATCATAATGGTTTGCAATTCTCTCTAGCAAACAGCTACATTATAATTTTGAGATGTACTGCTTACATCACTGCTCCTTTCCTGTATTGTGAAGTTGTTTGAACAATCTTAATATACTTGTTTAAAAGTGCACTATATTGTCCATTCACCAAGTTTTTGTCTGTTTTCTCTCTATGGTATGCAAAAAGGATGGTCTCTTCTTCTTCATCGTCACTGGTTGTCCTGTCTTGACGATCCGCTGGAAGTGGTTTCGACAGAGCTCTAGGTTCTTCCGCAGGTTGAATTTCCAATGGAAACTTCTTCATTGGAGTTTCTCTGTAACAACATGGTTTCATTAAGCGAAAATCTTGCCTTACAAATATTTTGACATTCTTTGGAAAGGTTACTGCGTATGTAGATGATGGTAAGGGTATAGATTTGGTGTATCTGGATTTTCAGAAAGCATTTGACAAGGTGCCATATAAAAGGCTTGTAAAAAACTACTCTCTATATATATATATAAATATATATAGTTGTGGGGGGATAAGTTAGCTAATTGGATAGAAGAGGGGGCTGGATGGAAGAAAGCACAGGGGTTGTTATAAACGGAGTTCAGTCAAACTAGATTAATGTTACAAGTGGAATACCCTACAACTCAGTCTTAGGACCTTTGCCTTTTTTTATATTAATGGCATAGGTGAAAGAATGGTCAATAAATTACTTAAATTTACAGATCATATTAAGGTCTTGGGTGTTGCTAGCTAATGAAGAGGATGCTGCTGCTTTACAAAATGATTTAGATCATTTAGTGAGTTGGCAAATATAAGGCAAATGGATCTTAATTATAATAAATGCAAGATAATGCATGTGGATTATCATAATTTGAATTATAAGTATAATTTGGATGGGAATAACCCTAACAGTGTCACGAAAGAAAGAAGTATTGGTATAATGGTTTATTAGTCTCTCAAATAATCAAAACAGTGTGCTTTTGCTAGAGGTAGGGCAAATAGGATTTTAGGTTATATTTACAGAAATACCAAATACACGTCTAAATATATTATAATTTCATTGTATAGGTCATTGGTTAGGCCACATTTGGAGTATTGTGTTCGGTCTTGGGCTCCATACCTTAGAAAGGACATTGAATTGTTAAAAAGGGTTCAGAGGAAGGTTATTAGAATGATGCCTGTAATGGAGGATTTGTCGCATGAGGGGAGATTAAGATCTTTGAAATTGTTTTATCTTGAAAAAAGAAGAGTTAGAGAGGATCTGAATGAGGTGTTTAAAACTGTAAAAGGAATTGATAGTGTTAATGAATCATCTTTTTTCATACTTAACGGCGAGAATAGTAGATTGTTGATGTTGTTTGTTATTAAGCACAAAGCTACACAAAGGGCTATCTGTGCTCTACCCACCACGGGTATAGAAACCCGGTTTCTAGCAGTATACTTCCGCAGACATGCTGCTGTGCCATTGGGGGGCGAGAATAGCAGGACTAAGGGACACAAATATAAATTTGGGCAAGGTAGGAGTCATCTTCAGCTAAGACAGTTATATTTTTCTAACATGGTTGTTTGCCTTTGGAATGGGTTGCCTTCGGATGTTGTGGAGGCAGTAAACTTAAGGAAGTTTAAGAGAAAGCTTGATAACTATATGAATGATAAGGGCTGGCTTTTAATTATTATTATTTATTAATTTATAAGAGTTTGGTTTAGAGGGTGTGACAGCCGAGATAGACGAATAGGTCCCGTATTGTCCCTAAACATTATGTTATATTATATATCGATCTGTTTTATTTTATTTTAATTTTATATTACAACGCATTATATAGAGTTCCAGAAGCACTACTAAACATTTTTTTTTTTACTTCATGTGAGGCGAATACATAGGAAGCTCACACTCCCTGTTCTTTCGCGATGTTTCTATAACCTTTTTACACAGTACAAGCTATGGCGTACAAAGCTTGCGCATGCTCTATAGGGAAAGAAGCATTTACGGAGTTCTAGAAATTTCAGTGGGATAACGAAATTCGCAAGTAGGAAATGCGTTTGTTCAGTTGAACCAAGGCTGAGTGAGAAACTGGTGCTTTGGTTGAGAACTACTGAAATAGTAATTTATTGACTGGGAAGAAACTTAAGTATTTTATTAATTTAAAGATATAACTGGAGACCCAAGTATAGATTTTTATATTCACCGTAGAATAATATAAATAATTTTGGGTAAGTTATTTAAATGCAGTACAAACTAAATAATATTGGATGATTAGGAATAGAATTAGAATATATTCGTAACTTCAACTAAAAATTTAACTTTTAGATTTTTAAGCTTATACGTCAAATTTTATCTAAGACTTAGTACTGCTACTAGTCTTACTCTTACAAAGATTTGATAAGACGATAAAACTAGGTAAGAAATTGAAATTCGAATTTAACTGTGCTAATGTTTTGTACTGGACCAGTTTTTCATTTGGATGCCTCTTCTCTCGTCTTTGCACTGTAAAATGTAAATGCAAAAAATAATAATAAAAAACAACACCAAACAAACATTGAAACAAACAAAAATACATTAATATAAAAATTGTATCTTTCAGTGTGTTGACTTTGTGATCTTCTAACTTATGTGTTCATTCAAGCTGTTAGTATATTGATATGGTCTTTGCATATTCAAATTTAATAAAAACTACTGTTTTTAATAGATGTATTGAATTTAAGATTATTTATCATGCATATGTTTAGGGCACTAGTATGTACAGCTTCAAAATAATTTTATTTAGAAAAAATAAATGAAGCCTAATTGTTTTCTGGTATGTTCTTCATGACCTAGCTATATTAATACAAATTTCCAGTGTAAATGGAAGAAGCACCAAGTCACAGTGAATGTGGTGTTTTTACATTGATAGTTGTAATTCAGTACTAGTAGTAATGTAAAGATTTTACATAAACACTGTTGAATTTTTTTATGTTTTGATTTTGGTTGGTAGATTTCTGTTATGAATAAATGAGTCCAGATAGTACCAGAAGGATTTGTATTTTGAACTTTCATAAAACCTTTGATAAGGTGTTACACTTGACTTACAAATAAATTGATTGAGTATTAACTATATGGAAGAATTAAAATAGTGGTAAAAAGTCTTGCTTGGTGGCCGAATGGTGGTCATAAATGTCATTTTTCTGTTTGGGTGAAGCTGATCAGTAAGGCTTTTTAGTGTTTGTGTAGAGACCCTTTTGGTTTATCATTTTGGATAGATTCTTGGATGGTGATAAGTTTTCTCTGATGATACTGAGGTTCCAGTCTTTCTGGGCACAAACATGAAAAATTGGTTAGAGTCTGATTGAGAAACGTAAGGTTATGTACTTGGAAAATGGTAATTTTGAAAAAAAAAAAATGTATGTGAAGAACATGGGTATTGTACATGGATAGCAAGGAACTGTTTAATTAAATAATTTCCTGCATAACCACCCATCCTGTGAGAAAAATAATTTACATTCAATTTTCAGTAAATACTTGTATTAAATGTAATACCATTATTTGGAAATGTTCAACATTTCTGATGCAGTACTGGAAGTTTTGTTTTAAATTTATTTAGTGTTATAAAATGTCTAATGCTAAAGTTATGTTTTTTTCAATTTCTTATGAGCTAGTTTTCCATTGAAGATAGTAATATGATCTTAATTTTCTTGACTAAAACTTCAGGTAAATCAGAATGGTGAAGGAGACAGGCTATTATGACATTTTGGGAGTGAGTCCTAATTGTAGTGATAGTGATTTGAAAAGAGCTTACAGAAAGTTGGCTTTAAAATATCATCCTGACAAGAATCCTTCAGAAGGAGAAAAGGTAAGATGTTCCGAGGAAAATTTTATCTTCCCATTTTATTATTACAAGTTTTCTTAACAACGTGCAATGATAATACATGTAGCAATTCATAACATATGGACAACAAGGGACCACTTGGGCCTTCATGGCTGTCCTTGTACACTCATCTTTAACAAAAGTAAAAGTTTAAACCCACCTTATAATTCAGGTAATTGATTCCAGTTTTGTGAAGTGCTGGCCCTCCACTTTTGGCGGTAGCATTTCATCCCATACGACAATTATTCATTTAGTAAAAGTGTTTATAGTGTTATCAGAATACAGCATAAAGAAATTGGGTGCCTCTATCCTATTGATCCTTTGGATAATCTTGTAAACTTTAATAAAATAATATTTTCTAAAGAAAAAAATAAGTTATAGATCTTATCCTATCCATAAGATTAATTTATTCAACCCAAGAGTCATTGTAGTAATCCTATTCTGAATCCTTTCTAATAGGTAGAGCTTGGTAATTAGTGGTATTTGGTCAGTAGTTAATAAAGAGAAAAGATTGGCAGTGGGTAACTGCCAGGCAGTTGCCTTCCCTTTTGTCAACAGTTCAATATTTGTGACAATGGCAGATAAATAATATCAACAGCTTTACAATAACAAAGAAAGGGCAAGGAAGTTTGGTAGCAATATATTTTGATTACTTGATCATTTTCATAAAAATTAACATAACCAGAATTTGATTGAGTGTTGGAATAATTGAAAACGGTAATAATTAGAAACCCTAATTTTGATTAATGGAACAGTTTGATCTGGGCAATGAACTCGATTAATTGGAATCATTAATTAAATCAGTGTTCCAAATACAAAATTATTTGGAAGCGCTTGCAGCTGGGACTTGTTAGTACAGCCAATATCATGCAACTGGTCATGTCCAGTGAAGTATTACTGTTTGATTTTATTTTAGGTTGTGAAAGTATATATATATATATATTTAACCATTCTACAACCCTTACCTTGTAAACTTCTAAAGCACTAATCTTTTTTTACAAACTGTCCATAAATAATTATTGAACAATTTTATTTCCAGTGTAATGGAGGCTAGAACCTAAGGTTTGTATGCTGTCAGTGATCTCATTAGTACACCTCAATATGGACACTGTACATGACTTGAACAATGTCCAGTCCAGCATCTCCAGAGTAATATAGTGATAAAATTACATAGTGCGACACAAGTTTTTGCAAAAAATGTTTTAATGAAAATAAAAAATTTATTTCAAAATTAATAAATTTGGTAAGGTCTCCTTTTCATGATAAATTATGACTACAGAGAGCATATTGAATTTGGTTACTATTTTCCATTGTAACGTAGGTTTAAATCTGGTGCAACTGTTACTCTCCATTGTATATTTCCCATGTTAAATAGTCATCTTTTAATTTTATTTTTTAACAGTTCAAACAAATTTCCCAAGCTTATGAAGTACTTTCCAACCCAGAAAAAAGGAAAATCTATGATGCAGGTGGTGAAGATGCCATCAAAGAAGGAGGTGGAAGTGGTCATGGATTTTCTTCACCCATGGACATATTTGATATGTTCTTTGGAATGGGTGGTGGTGGTGGAAGGAGAGAACGTCGTGGTAAAGATGTTGTTCATCAGTTAGGAGTTACCCTTGAAGAACTTTACAACGGAGCAACAAGGAAATTAGCTCTACAGAAAAATGTCATCTGTGATAAGTGTGAAGGTACATTTTTTTCTTTTTAAACTTATAGAATATACATCCTTAACATTTGATATTTTATGTAGAGAAACAAAAATATGTTTCTGAAACTACTGCACCCTCTCAATCCTAGTCTGCCCGCTAAGCATTGGTAAAAAAAAAATTTTGCTACAGCACACTAGTCTTTATACCTTATCAGGTTTGTATCATTTCAGAACATGTGCTGATCACGTGACTACTCTCCACCAATCATACTGCGCCATTTATACTATTCTAGAACAATCCTCATTTTCAAGAATTGGCAGGCATGAACCACAAACACCGGCATCTCAGTGGGGATGAAAGGTGAGAAGTGGGTGAGAGGAGGTGGGTACCTATCAGAAATACATTTTCAAGAGTAAGAAAATGTTGACTGTCTGCTTATCCAGGCAAGATAGCATAATTTTCCTAAAATTAAACTCTTATTTGAAGTGTACTGTAGGAACCTTTAATGGTTGATTTGTACTAACTAATCCCATAACAGTGTAGAAGAAATTGTTACACTGTACGAATGAGTAAGGTCTGTACATATACATTGTGATGTTCAGGTACAAATTCAAACTTTTTATCATTTGTTGTAATTATAATAAATTGCGTAATACACAAGCAACCATCTAGTTAATGAAATAAAAAATATTGTGTATAGTTCATTTTTTATAATGAATGTGCATATATCTGTTAGCAGATAAATTTCTTGCTTCCAATTGAACTGTGTATTTATCTGTCACTAACATAAAATCAGAGACTCCTACATAGTATTGCTTAAAGTTAAAGCAGGTTTATACTAATTGTCAGCTCTATAAGCTAATTATATCACTTCATTTGTCAATGTGTAGGCAGTGATGTTTATTGACTTGATGAAACATGTTAACAGCAATTAAAGAACTTAATGGGATTTTATAAAGTATGTAAAAATGTTTTTATTAAATATTAATCGCAAATGAATCTTTCACTGATTAGTTTACATTTTATTCAGATCTCTAATTTCTACAACTTATGTTAATTAAGTAATTTTCATCTCAGTTGTTAGAATCAATTTTTAGTTACCAGAAGTAATTATTTAGGTAATTAAATCTTGTTTATTTTCAAAATTTGTTGTTTGTTATAAACTGGTTTGTTAATAACTGTAATTATGTTTAATATTATTTCTTTTATCACTGATATAATAGTTATGTCAGAGAGAAAAGGAATTATGATTTATTAGTAGTAATAAATGCATTATGGCCCAGTGTGTGTGTGTGTGTGTGTGAGTGAGAGAGTGTTAAGATTGAATTGTGAAGTGTTCATAAACGTCTCTGGTCATTTGTTAATTTCCCGTATAATTTCTTTTGGATAAAACTTTAGTGATGCAAGTCCTTTCTTAAATAAAACTAGTTTATTCTTTCTCAATACAACTTTGCAATACACTTAATTTCCACAGTTACTTTAACTTCAACACACGCTATAATTCACAACGATTCACGCACTTTACTTACGGTCACTACTGCGCTTGACTCAGTTGTCCGTCTCTATCTCTGCCTGTCTGCAATTCAATTTCCTATTAATTGTTTCGCTTTATCTGGCACTCTTATATATAGGAATAGAGGGCGTCTAGCAAATACTGGATTATTCGTGATGTTCCCTAATCCTTCTAGATACTCATTACGTGTTACCAGCGTCACGTGACTTCTGCTGTCGTAACAATAATAAACATGATACTTGTAGGTGAAAATCATCTGTAATTTGCCACCTGTTCATGGTAAAGTAGAAGTAATGTTTAATATGAGAGACTGCTGGATTGGTCTGTCGATAATTGCAAACATGCTTTGTAAACACACCAAATTGTTATTTAAAAAAATTATAATATTGGAGGTGTTCCGGTAAAACAGGTGCAGTTTTATGTAACTTACAAAGTTATTATTGTACAAAAAACATTCAGAAGAAGAACATTTTGTAAAGTTAATGAATATCTTAAAAGCATATGACACATCGATATAGCTTTTGCAAAGGTAAACAAAATGTGACTTTTTTTTTTATTATTCTCTTGTTTCAGTTAAGCTGAATACATATTTTCTAGTTTTAACTGGTTGGTCAGTTTTTTAATAATGTATATTGAATACCAAAACCTCAGTTTGTTAAATATACAATGAATTATAACTATATATTTGTGAAAATTGAGTGTAAATTATATCAAGATTCTTTTTAAAATCTGTGTAAAAGGCACATTTTCCAGTGTGTTCTTTTAGTTTTGTGTTAACGTAAACTTCAAGTAGGTTCATCATTGATGTTCAGTTTTCAGGTAATCTACAAGAACATTACTTTTCCTTCAAGAAAGTGATATGTTTTTCAATTTAAAAGTGTAATACATGTTCATTAACTGTGTATACCAACCATGCATATTATGAACTGTGTAACTAACTACGGCCTCTTTCATGAGAAAAATACGTAGTACGTGAGTATAAAGTGATGCATTATGACAGAGAAATAGCATGAAAACATTTACTCTTTAATGTTACTCAGAATTATGTTAGTAGAATTATCAGTTTTTGTTAAAACTATAGAAAAGACAGGCTACAGGCTTTACACCAGACGAAGTTAATGTATGTTCTCCCTCCTACACTTTTGTATCCAATAATTTCTAATTTCCATTGCCTCTGAAACATTTTCAAATTGATTTTATTGCTTTTGGCTGCCATTTTCAGTGTTTGCTTAGGAAACGATCATCACAGCACATTAAAACCTATTGCTATGCTGTTCACATTTTGGCTTTCCTCAGGAGTGTTTAAAATTATAATGCGAAGTGTAACTGAATGTGGCCTTTAACATGCGATCTTGCATATCAAAACAAAACGTTATACAATACTTCATTTTCTTGTGAAAGACAAAACTCAAATGGCCAAAAATATTTATTATATTAATCTCAGACTGGTTTTTAATGATTACGAAGAAAAAAAAATATGCATTGTTATACACTTTAGTTATATGACACAAAAAAATCTTAAAAACACGTGTTGCAAAAGTCTTCACCCCCCTAACATGATTATGCAGCTAATATTTAGTTGAAGCTCATTTGGCAGCAATAACAGGTGAAAGTCATTTTGGATAACTCTCCACTAGCTTTGCACAGTATACTGGAGATATTTTTTGCCCACTCCTGCTTGCAGATATCCTTCAGTTCTTGTAAGTTGAAGGATGTCTTCAATGCACAGCAGTTTTCACGTCTCTCCACAGATTTTCAAGTGGATTTAGGTCTGTGTTTTGGTTTGGCCAGTCAAGGACTTTAATTTTGTTTCTCTGAAACCATTCTTGGGTTGCCTTTGGTATGTGTTTGGGATCATTGTCCTGTTGAAATGTAAACCTTCGACTGAGTTTTAGTTTTTCAGCTGACTTCTTTAGGTTTTCCTGCAATACCTTTGTATATTTTGCACTCTCCATGATCCCTTAAATGTGTACAAGT